ATGTATTTATATATGTATCTGTGTTTATACGTATTTCTTGAGGTATATATATATATATATATGATATTCGATTTATATCTACATGCATCTTAGTTCTTTACATACAATTTTGGGTACTTCCCTGTGGCCTCGGAGGCCTTCCTGGACCATTGGACCGTGGGTGTGTACAGCTGCGCGAGGAGGGGCTCATCGTCTAGTTGATGCGAGGAGGGTTCAGGCTAGAGGATCTTTTCCCAACCTCTGCCCCCCCCTCCCCCCCACCCCCGCCCCACAAGATTTATTCGTCAGGAAGTTCCGGGCTGGCTTAACTCGATGAACAGTAGACCAGTACGTTTCACGGGTCAGGATTCATGCGTTGCCGTGTCACAAACTGAAGCAAACCTAGCTGTGAGAGCATGCTTCCGTGTTCCGTCGGGACCACGGCGGACCTTTCCTTGTGGCTGAATCGTTTGTTGACTGCATGCTGAGCCCTGGCACGGATGCAGGTGCCGTAGACAGCTGTATCCATCCTCTTCAAAGTGGTGTGGCACTTGGTGGAGCCCAGTAGTCAGTGCTAGACCCATGCTCCCAGATTCGAGGGTCATTGCTGTGGCTGTGAGCATTTAGTGTTCCATGTGCAACGTTGTAGAACGAGCAAAGGCGAGGTCCCTGCGCTTGGCCGTCTTTTCGGGCACCGATTTCAACCACGGCGCCTGTGCTGCAAAAAGATTACTGGCCCAGACATCGGTGGCTGAAGCGTAGCTTCACGGTCAGTGCGCACGATACGGACTGGTGCTGTTGGGTTGTGTCTGCAGAGGGCTGGCTGTGCCCTTTTACCTCCACATGTATCCTCGACAAAAATGTGCCACACACAGCGCTTGCTGCAGCCGGTCTGAAGTTCTTTCTAGGATGGCAAACCACACCAGCATGCCTGCCCAAGCCACAGGCTTTGAGAACGCGCCCTGTCGTCGGATATGGGAGCCACCAGGAAGCATCCAGCTCGCCTTTCATTAGCAGCATGAGCATTCTGTGTTGACAGCCGAGTCGCAAGTGCAGTCCTTGAATGCATGCCGCATGCAGTTGTTCTCTCGTCAGAACGCCGTGATCGTGTTTCGGTGAGTGCCTGTTTGGTGCAGCTGCCAAGGCTACAAATGTGCTGTAGCAGAGCTTTACTGTGAGAGCTGCCAGTTGTTCATAGGCGCGGCCCTCAGCGCTGTTCTGGGAGTGCTGCTGAATTTTGGGATGTTGTGCTGAGTTCGAGCACCTCCGAGCCGCGACCAGGCCACTGCTTCCAAGATGCCTTCCAGCTGGGTGACAAGGCTGGGCAGGATCAGCAGTGCGGCCAAGTGCGGCACTGCAGAGGATCAGTCGCCGTCGCAGCTTGCACTACAGTATACTAAAGTCGCTAATGTCTAAAATGCCACGGGTTGAACTTTGAAGCCACTGGACCCATGGCCACCGGAATAAACGAAACGGCACGAGCAGACAGTACCACAATCCTAGCGCATCCCAGCGCTTTATTCTCCCTCCACGTAAGGAGGGAGCAAAGCACCGTGTTCTAAGCATGTTCCGCGTGTCCAAGACTTTGATACAATGGCAGGGCCCGGAGAGCACTGGCTGGCGCCACTGAGTGTTATCGCGCTCGCTGCGTTTCGAAGCGCAAGCGAGCTTGTAAAGTGTGGCTGGAGGTTTCAGCGTTGTGCTATGCGATTGCACCATACTAACAGAGCTTTGGTGATTGTTGGTTTTGGTAAGATTCGAGAGGTTGTGTCGGTGCGAGCGGTGCCGGGCTGGTAGAGTTCCGGGCTCAACGCTGAAACTTCAAACTCTGCTGCTCCGCTGAGCGACTTGCTCGAGACAACGGCCAGAGGGCGTTCTTGCCAGCAGCCGGGGCCTTGGTTCTGCAGAAGGTAGGATTATGCAAGTCTTGTCTTTCGAAGGAGGCGAGAGCTGGCGAGGTTTTGAGGAGATCAGGGCATGGCTCGAGTCGTGGGTGGCTTTTGAGGATCTGTTGAGGTGTCATGTCCAGAGCCTTTGGTGCAAGGTCATCTTGCGCTGGTGACATTGACGGCAATCCTGTGAGGGTGCTTGAGGTCTTTGGAGTTCGCAAGAGGGAGCTAGCAGGACATCCTTGGCCCAGCAGTCCAGCTGTTCAGTCCCATCATAGTGACACGACCAATATGTCGGTGTTCCTGACCTTGAGACGGTACTTGACCTGATTTTGTTTAACGGCCTGGAAGTGTCGCTCGAACCTGCATGCAGGGGATGCCTGGATGCACCGTTAATGAAATTTATCTGAGGCGTGCCCTCTTAGCTTCATGAAAATGTCGCGGACACATTGAGCAAGGGGCATGATGCTAGTTTCATGAAGCTGTGCTGTGGTTGCGGTTGTCACCCCTGCTTGCCTTGAAAACATCTACGTGCTTGGCCGTACAAGCTTCCGTTGCGACTCGGCGGATTTCGCCAAGTCGTTCCAAGTCATATCGTTGCCTGGCGGTACTTAATTCAATCGCTAGCCCGAGAGCCGCTTCGGAGCCGGCTCCGAGATCCGCCATGCGGGGAAGGCCTTGGTCAGGGGCCGGGCCGGAGGGAGGTGGAGGGCGGGGGGAAGCGGCTTGGGGGAGGGGAATACCATCATTGAAATCATTGGAGCCTGACCAAGGCGGTCCGGCCTTTGGCGGATTCAGCTTCGTGCAGTCGGTGCAGACCTGTGGTATGCTGCATGATACGAGCCCGCGGCCCAAGAGCCACACCCCTCGATTTAAATGTCAAGAGACGCAAGCACGAAGGACGAAGCAGCAATAATCAGCATCTGCAAGCGGAGTATGCAAGACTGGATTCTGTCGACTGGAGGGGGCTCTGAATGAAGTAGTATCCCCCCGAAGCCTTCTTAGTGCGTGGCCCAGCCATTCAGCCCCCACCGAAACCCTATGACCACCAGATGCGACCCCGATGCAGTGAAGTAAGCAGTAGGGCGGCGAGCCGCTCGTGGGCCATCTATCAGAGCCATGCTGCCGCTTCCACAAGTCAGGCCCGAGGACATCAAAGGCCTTTCAGGGGAGAGAGTTGCAGTGTGCGGCGACTAATATTGTTCTCCGCCCCGTACCTGTGCCCCTGGTATCCACATACCTATATGTTTCGACTGCTTCCCCGACCCGGACCCCTGCGCATGACCCTCCCCACCCTCGCCCGCACCCTGCCTGCTTTTTTTTCCAACTCATTTTGAACCCCTCACTTGGAGTTTGAAGCCGCAAGATTCCCGAGTTGGAAATGTCCCCATTCTGCATCTCGCGTGATCGCTTCCTGCCAGGCTTCGCCAATGCCCCGATCTCAGCATCAGCCTTTTGCTGAGGCGCTCACCGCTTTCGTTTTTGTGACTTAGCCTGCAGTCCGCTACAGTAGGCATCGGAAAGGCCTGTTGAGACAATGAACGCCTTTGCTCACGTGCTGATCGTGAAATACGGAGAGTCTGGAACTACAGAGCTGGGGGCCATTTGAGCTGCATGTTCTCTTCCACGACCGGTTCTGGCTCTTCTCACACGGCATAGCTTTGCTTGTTGCTGCATCTTTTGGGTCAGGGTCCGCCGTTCCTTGGTCATTCCTAGGCCACAAGGCTCAGGCTCGAATCGAAGGCTTCCCCTTGCAAGCCAAGTCTGGACGTTCGCAGCAAGGTCATTGCCCGGCTGGCAGAGCTAATGTGGGCTCCTCAGACATATTTTTTTTATGTTTCAGCTTGGCACATGTAAACGTGACGTGAAGGCTGTGAAGGCTGCACGTGCTTGGCCCAAGGTCATTGGCTGCCTTCCTCCCTGTGGTCTTTCGAGGCCCGGACCAGCCATTCTGTGAGGGAGATGGTTTAGGACAAAAGCCCGGCATAGAAGCAACCTGATGTGCTTTCTGCGATGCTGCGATGTCCTACTTAGAAGAAAGGCACTCCGTACAGAGGCAACGGAGACAGTGGTTTGCAAGCCTCCACGGCCTCTTTGTCTGACCAGCACATTGCAAAGCCTTGAAACGAATGGAAGCAGCTGTCCATAGGGAGTACCGACGCAGGGCGGATGAGCTTCACGTCAGCCCGAACGAGGCCGGACGGTTTGCGAAAACGGCCACGTGGTTGGGCAGTTTCGTCATGAAGTGATCGTGTGATTAGAGTTGGTTCGAGTTGCTGGGGACGGAGAGACATGCTGGAAAGGACGGCTGCTTTGAAGGCGGCCGAGCAGAGGACCTGGCAATCTTTCTGTTGTCAGCTCTAGGCACGGTTTTGGGCAGAGCAGCCTACATGAACATCAGGGTTACGTCGGCTGCTAAAAGCTTCCCGAGCTAACGTCCTGCTGAAGCTTTTGGAGCGACTTCTGTTGCCGCTGCTTCTCAATTGTGAGGAAGACGGACCAGAAAGCTGCTGGCAACAAAGATGACAAGGACAAGCTGCATTGAGCTGAGGTCTGCTCTTCTGCATCTGACTCTGGACCGCTTGTGAGGACGATGCCGTTGCCGAGGAGCAGGAGGCCTCGTGATCGTGAGACAGACAATACCACTCAGAGGATCGGGCACTGCAGGGCATTGCAAAAAACACGCACAGATAGCAGACAGCACAGGAGATACTCTGCTCGAGGCCCCGGCGCCGGGTGCCCCAACCGGCATCTTCTGCCTGCTGCTGTGCTTGGCCTCGGAGGCACCCCTTCTTTCGGGCGCTTCAGACCTGGGAGCATGCTCGGATCCGGGATCAGAGTACCGGGTTCGAGTGCCACCTTCGCTTCAGACTCACAAAGAAGGGGAGAACGGTTGGACTCGATCCGTTGTCATTTCGTGGCAACGGTTTGCGTGTCGGGCTTCGCTCGAGACTACGAGGAGGTTCACGACGTCCCTGGGGGCTAGGCTATAGGTGCTCGCATGTGGAAGAGTCTGGCCTGCGACCATTGCTATGGAGTCCTAGCATATTCCGGGTCATGGTGGTTTTTCTCCTTATGCCAGGTTCTTCGTGGCCGTGGCTTGTTTGCACCTGTGGGATCCCAAGTCAGATGCAGACAATCGCAGACACGCAATGCGTGTGTGAAAGCCGTCCAGCGCGTTTGCCGCCGCTTGGCCGGAGGCTGCCTCGGGCTCCAAGGCCCTCCCAGGGCAGAAGAGGGCAGGTTTTTCGGAGCGTGGTCTGAGGATGAAGGGCTGTGCTGGAGCTTGGTGTGTTTCGGGCCGGATCCGGAGATGGACTTGATGTCAGCCTGTAGCCCTGCAGAACAAATGCGAGTGCTCTGCACTTTTCGCTTTAAGATCTCTTTCTGGCGAGCTGGATGACTGGCCTTGCTCCTTGAGCTTCATATACCGCTTGCATGTCACGTCCTCCTATGCAGAGAGATTTGTAGTCCAACCCGCCATGCCCAGGACTCTCCCGTCCTGGTAGTCGTCGAGAAGCTCAAGACGGTGGCGTGCGACAAGAGATACTACAGAAAAGCATTTCGACTGCTAAGCTTCCTCAGTGAGTTTGTTACGAGTCGTGCTTTAATTGACGGGATGGCCCCTTGAACTGCACATGCGTGGTCTTTTGAAGAATGAGACAAGACTGGACAGTCGGTGTCGTCTGAGCCAGAGCTTCGTTTCTTGCAGTCCGGTGGGTTGTGTAAAGAACAGGTACGGCGGTACGGTTCTGGTTGTCGGTGAACTTGGCATGTTTGCTGCGAATGGTGACGTTCTGTTGGACCATTGCCGGATCAGAGCTGAATTTGTTTCGTGGAGACGTTCTGTGGGAACAAGTCCCGTATACACTCGGACACGACATGACACCACAAAGTGCCACAGATCCCGCTAGAAAGCTGTTCGTGACCCTAGAAGGAACAGCCCTGTGCAGGTGGGCCAAAAGCTTCAAAAGCGGCACAGCGACATCCTGGATAAGAGCATTCTGGACACGCTGTCAACTGACTGGGTTTTTATGGTTTTCGTAGAATGCTTAACACCCTTTTAGAATCCTTAAGCAGCATGCGCGCAGCCTCTGCTGCGAATCTGGAGTTGGTCGCTGCGGGCATGTGGGGATTCCTTTGAGGGTTCTGCTAAGGGTTCCTTTGAGGGGTTCTTTTAAGGCTTTCTGTGATGGTTCGTTGAAACGGTTCCTTGCAGGGTTCTTCCGAGGGTTCTTTAAGTATTCCGAGACCTCGTCAGAAATCCAATCCCTAAGACGACCTGAGGCAGCTCTACCAAACCCCTGAAGCCTGTAGGAAGCGCTCCCAGAAACGCTCAATCAATTCTGCCCCCCAAAGCTCTGCAATCGAGAAACTTTCAGGAAACTTTGTCAAGAATCTAAGCCCTAAGACGGCTTCAACTATTGTAGCTTTCACGCAGCCCTGAAACCCTTGGAAGCCTGCCAGACGCTCTTAAGTAGGATGCCCATAAAAACTTGCCATCGAGGAGCTTGTAGCTTATGCTCCGGGTTCTAACTTACAAAGGTATGTAAATACACCTCCGTGAAAGTTCCGCGATGATGTTGCGAAAGTATAATTACGTTTGCGCGAAGAAGGTCATTCCGGGATGAAGCTATTTAGATCAACAGCCATATAAATGCGGAGTGCGCGGACCAGACATGGGCTCCAGCAGGAGCGGGTCAGCTTGGCCTTCGCTGAGGTCTTGAAGACGCAGCAGGTG